TCATGCAGAAGTGGATTTCAGCGAAACGCATAAAGATCACTGAAGATAAAGAATTTCTTTCGTGCGTTGGTGCTCTTGCTGAACAACAGCATCAAACACGGTTTAGTAGCAAAGAACACGAACATTAATGTGGTCACTCGAATGACTGACCACTACTTACGTTTTGGCTCGTGCCTCACGAACCTTCTTAAACGTGTGAGGTTGGTAAAGTTTGGGCGATTTTCATGTTGTCCACAGGGGTTGGTCGGTTTAGAGCCAGAAAACGACTAGTCAAATTTAGTGGCAAAGACATCGGCGTTAAACCCTAGGTGCGGGTTCGAATACGCTGAAGGGTCAACCTTTATATTTCCGGTTAGCAGTTAATTCCCTTGAGCACGGAATTAAAACCACGTTGCTTCGGCGCAATGAGCCAGGTAAAAGGTAGTAAGTCGATGACATGTGAATGGCGGGAAGAGCATGACGTTCTGGTCTTTATGTGCCAGAATGAATGAAGTATACAGTCACACTGTCCTCTCTCGTCTTCGTGGCCGCATTTCTCGTTGATTCACCTAATAGCAGAATATCCAGTGTAATAATCAGACTAGGTGTAAAAAAACTTTCAAAATTGACGGACTTAAAACATTAATTAAAAATTAATAGGCCAACCAATTAATGATCAACTTAGCAACTAATTTTAGCTAAGCCTCATCTACGCATCCAGAAATATCTGATACATTTGATAGGTTCTGTTAATTGGTATGGTCTTCTTTGTTTATATTCGGCGCTGCTGCTGCTTCAACTATTTCCAAGTACTGAACGGTTTAAGTTTTAGGTGTGACCTTATAATATATCATTCGGTAGAGACCCTTTAATTCTTACTTATTGGCTCTAAACCTTATGACAAAACTTTTATGAAATCAACATACTTAATCAGACTAAGTCGGAGCCACAAAAGAAGAAAACAGTAAAAGCATAAAAGCAATTCTTCGTATGTTAAATCATACATCAGTCGGTTACTGACTGCCAGGAATTAGTACAATGCAATGTTTCGACCCATCTTCTAGTCCCTTTGGATTCTAGTGGCTTTGGTAGTTTTCAGTTCTGGCCATTTCCTTCTCGGTGTTGACAAGATCTTTTGTCTTCTTCTCATTCTCCAAAAATGCGGCTTTGTTTATTCACTACAACCATGCCGTTTTTAATCATGTAGCTGAAATGATTAAGTTTCAGCCCTTATATGATTCTAAAAAACGCTGATTGGCGCTAAATTTTTATCTTATTCACTCAAAGATGAATGACCATTCCATTCGATTCTTAACGGTGATTTGTAATTTCGCTTTATCAGCACTTTATTAGACATACGCTTTGCTTCATCTTGGGTTCAACTTACACTTCCTTAATCTGCTAAAGGTCAAAAAACTGAATTTTTATGCTTGGTTGGGTCTGTTCTTCAATATTTATTCTTACAATGCAGTAGGCATTTCTTCCAGCGATCAGCGCACAACTACATGTAATATATAACTGCAGCAAAGAATGGTTGCGAAATTTTCACGGGGAATAACAGCTTAATTTCTAGTGCCGGATGAAGTACTAGTATATGATACTAGTAGAGATTGATTTTCTACGCAACTCGATTTTTTCGCCGGAACGATGAACATCCGTCATTTAGCAGAACTTTGAGAATAACAGGTCATTATAAAAAGTGTGTACAAAAAATTAGTTGCATTCTGCATCATGCGTTAAGTAAGCGAGGCTATGCTATTGCTGACATTATGCGCGAGAGTCTTTGGCATGAGATGCGCTGCAATTTTTTGGCAGGTGGTAATTTCCCTAATAACTGTTCCAACAACACAATTCCTTCTTTCATAATTGTAATAAGTAAATTTTCCAAGCGTAGATAATAATTTGCGATATGCCACATCTTGTAAACCGCCAGCGTGAGTCAAAACCGGTAGAAGAAGTCTCAACAGGTAGAAGCACAAGAAACAAAAGTTATGGGTAAATGTTTTAGCTTTGTCTTTGATGCACGACATTCCATTCGGTCATGTCAATGAGACGTTCACTATCATAAAAAGATATTTTGCGTCATTCAGCCGAACCGTTGACTTTTATTCTACTTGACTTCCCTTTCTGACGAGATTAAAATTATCGTTATGCAAGGTATGAAAGATGATTACATATTTTGCGATGCTTCATCTCACCATGACACGGTTCATTCAGACTGTTTCTATGTCGTGGCTATAAGTGAATAGTAACAGAGATCGTATTTGGTTTTACGGTAAGGTAAGGTTGTCTTGCTGCTGTCGGGAAGCAATGAAATGGTAGCACATGTTGATGCCTTAAAAGGTGCTGTTGTGATTGTTGCCAGCGTCTGAATTGCTAGACAGTTATTTGTAATACGGTCTCTGCCGAAAACAAGTGAAAAGCTTCAGATGGTTTCGGCTATTCGTTGGTTCTAGCCTAATCTAGCAACGATGTGTTGCATCGGTTGTTCTTCGCCATCTGCTGAAATTAAATTATAGAGGATCATGATTCAATTCGAAATGAACAAAATGATGGTTGAAACATTGCTTTCAACACTGCAGAGGTACCTGCACTCGATTGACATTTCACATTACAGTTGGGTGTTTCGCGGATGTAACCTTAGCATGCATCAGTAGCTCAAAATTGTTGTGACCTTTCCATATATTGGGCAGTCTCGTGATGTCAGATGTTGTTAGTCTTTTGTATTTGAAAATCTGGGTCCTGAGCTCACCATCTATTCCTATAATGGAAACAGAATATGCAGTGACCTGTATAGCCAACGTATACAGATGCCCAATTTGATTAATGATCAACTTTTGAAAAATTTTCAAAAATTTTTGATTAATAATCACTATCATAATCAGTTTAGTTATCTTTATGCATCTGCTAGGTAATAGGAATTAACAAATTGATTCCACGATCTTGAGACTCATTTTCAACCACTGCTACAGTTATTATGTGCCCAAGTGTACGTATTCGTTGCTTTCAATGGCGGAGTTTTGCATTTTCATTATAACCAGCTTATGCTGGACATTTTATTCACTGCAGCTTCTCCGTGATTGTTGAGGCATCAAGTTAACGTTTTCATATGATTTTCGATCGTTTGTTTTCATGCAAAGCAGAAGGCTGGCAAATGTTATCGTTACAAATTTTACACTTGAACTTGCCTCTGTTTCTCTCGGATTTTTGAAAAGTTTATCATTTTTAGACGTCTTTTGTACCGCATTGTTTATGAGGAATAAATTAAGCGTTCGACCCAGATATCTTGAATTGGCATCCTATACGCTAATTCGTAAAAATCGTTTACCGAAATGCAGAATGTTAGAAACTCATAACTGCGCACGCAAGTCAGTCTCTCTTGGCCCTTCAGTGATGTACTTCATTATTGATAACTGAAAACAGCGTTCAACACGGTTTATTTATACACAACACAAACAATTTTATCAATCAGATGATCGACCAGTACCAAGTTTTCGACCCGTGTCTTATGGGCCTTCATCACAGTATGGCGTTGCATGAGTCTTTCGAAAGTCTCTGTTGTTGTCCATGGCGGTTCGCATGTACAAAACCGGAATGACAGAAACTTCGGTGCTAGTAATTCATTCTATGGACCTAATTGATTTGCAATGTGCATTAATAAAACCGTGTTACACACTGTTGGAGTAGGTCCACAAATGGTCGATAACATCGTCGTGTAAATGGCAAGTTTGTGCTACAACGAATGATCGAGCAATGTGGGAAGTTTTAGCTACCCTGACACTTGTCATTCTGGACTTTAGTGCATCCTTTGATTCGGTATATCGCTACACCGTGTAGCGAATCATCCGTCAGTACTAGAAATATTTGGCAAGATTGTAGGACTGATGCAGGGTCTTTACGAAGGAACATCGTGTGCTGT